AAAAAAAAATAAAAATAAAAAATCAGTAAACTTTTGTATTTTTTCCCAATGGTCTTGTTCCGTATAAATGTTTCTGTGGCTGCATCACTGGTCTCTATTTATTCACTGGTTGCTGATTGTCCGTTGGTAGTACGGGGTTGAAGTGAAGCCACCGGCCGCCATATTGGTTCTCCCTAGTTAGACCGGTCGTGATGTAAACAATCTATGCGCTACAGCATCGAAAAACGATGATTTTTCCCATTTATAGTCAGACTTAAGACTTTTAAAACAAAGATAAATTCATCACTTTGACACAGACTGGCTGTTTCATAGAATCAGTAGATTACTTTAACTACATCACATTGCATAGTTATTATGAAGTCAATGAAGTCTATAAATCATCTAATAAAAAATATTATACAAATCCATCACAATAAAATTAATGCGTTGATGGAGCAGAATAATACAGATGAGCCAAAAGTGCTAAATTGATGATATACATGTAATATACATGGGTTTATTACATCGTTATGGTAATTACATCCTACATGTAATGTCAGGATTTTACATCAAGACTGAATTACAAGTACAGTACAATGTGTTTCCCTATTTGCAAATTATTCATGCATGATTCCATATACTTTTTATGCTGCGTCTGTGCATTAGCCTTTAATAATGTTTCAGTTGCTTTTTTTCGGTCAATATAACATGCAGTATATTTCAGCTCATGACTTTTTCAACTGGGAAATACAACAAACTCTACAAAAACGACAGCATCATCCACTCTAATAAAGAATTACTACATTGACAGTTTACAGAGAATTAGTTTCTATTTCCTGTCCTTTCTAATTTCTGACCATAGACCCAATGTCAATGGCTAACTCTTCCAGTCAGTCCCAGATAGCCAGACTAATGTTAGTCTACAGACTTTACTATAGGATCCATCAGCGTATAGATGGATTTATTGGCCGGCAAACTGCTTGTTTTTGCATTCAAATGCGAAACCCCTGATCTCTATTTATTCACTGGATTGCTGATTGGCCGAAAAAAAGTGAAGCCACCATCCGCCATATTGGTACTCCCCACTCCATGGAGTACAAATGCCTCCCTCTGTAGCATTTGGCTGCAAAAACCAGCATTTTGCCAGCTGTGGGAAGACGTTCCACAGGTCATTTCCCAGTCAGTGTCAGTGTGTGCATATGTACTGGTATGTATAGTTTTTTCTAATGATCAGATTCTTGTTGTAACTAAATATAAACAAAATATGAACTTCATGTTGCCTGATATTTTACCAATTGATGTGATTTTGCTAGTGTAGAAACTGAAGCTCTGTGGGGTTATTAAATTGGTTGATTGATTTAGCTCTATTATATATCTGTCAGATTTGAAGGCTATTGCACAGATACAGTGTAAAGATATATGGAATCATTCATGCACAATTTGTAAATCAGAAAATACTTTAAGATTAAGAGACGTGCTTGTAATTCAGCCTTCATGTTAAATCTTAAGATTATATTTAAGATGTAATTACCATAACAATGTCATAAATCCATGTATATTACATGTAAATCATCAATTTTAGCACTTTTGGCTCATCTGTATTACTTTGCTCCATTAAGACATACATTTTATTGTGATGTATTAGTATAATATTTTATATACTACACAAATATGCTTTTACTACGCATCTCCGTGGAACTAGGGAGTACCAATATGGCGGCGGGTGGCTTCACTTTTTTCGGGCTATCAGCAATCCAGTGAATAAATAGAGATCAGTGGGCTGCATACGGCTGTATGGTTATCAAACCACATTTCCCATGAGCCTTTTAGCCGCTGACATCATCAAACAGGAAGTAAACACGGAGGAATACGTCATCAAGCGGTTTCTCAGAGCCATGACAGATCGCACAGGTTGCTTTTTTTCTCCTTTATTCATTAATATGTTCTGCTAATGGAGTCTGATGCTAGCTAATGGTGTTGTCTGATGATGTTAGCTGTAGCTTTAGCATGATGCTAAGCTTTGTTGTTTGGTTGGTTCCTGCTCGCTGTGACTAACCAGCTGTCATGTCGTGTTTTTTTCCACACCGCTGACACCCACCGTGGCTCTCTGTGACAATTCTTCTCTACTAACAGAGCCTGGAGGCTTTAATGGCGTTTATTAGAAAAACCGTCGGATGTAGCGGCTCAAGATCAAAGAACATCAAAGAAAAACCAGCAGCTGCTGAGTGTTTCCATATGGAGGCATAAAAAGGGTTAAATAGGAAGTTAAAGCAAAGATAGCATCGGTTTCCTACTTGCCTATTATATTACTGAACAAATGGTTCATTCCCTGCTCAGGAATCATCATGGAGAATAAAATAGAGTAGAATAGAATCTGTGTATGTCTGACACCAGGGGGCTCTGCCTGAAAATACTAGAATGCAAACAGTTAAAGTTGTTAAATGACTGAGTTAATTTGAGCTAAATAATCTCTGCATCCATCTCTTAATCCCAGAATTAGAAATAATCCCTCACTTTCAGAATGTTTCTAAATGTCTCCAGTCTGCTGCTTCCCATCCTCAGTCACAGTGAGATGCAAAGGATTTTCTTTGCTTGATGTGGTGTGTGAACAGGGGCGGATTTAGGATATTTGGGCCCCTAGGCAAAGACAGGCAGGGGGCCCCCCTGAACCGAGAACACAAAAAGCAGACCCATTATAGAGATAGAGAAATGTTAATAGAATAGACATCCATTATCTGTTCTAGGTTGTGTCCCTCTCTTCTTGTCCCTTTTCTTCTTGTTTTCCTCTCTATGTTTTGTACTCAGCTGACTTTTCATGCTGTCTCTAAAGCAGTGGTTCCCAAAGTGTGGGGCGCGCCCCCTCAAGGGGGCGCAATGCCATTGCAGAGGGGGCGCGG